TTTCTTTTTAAAAAAAAAAAAAAAAAAAAAAAAAAAAAAAAAAAAAAAAAAAAAAAAGGAATTCATTTTAGTCATTGTAATGCACAGATTTTTAGTAATAAAACCAATGATTGATAGAAAATGCCAATTGCCGCAAATGACATAGCTTTACGCAACTTTGTTGACAGTATGATCGTAAGACATATTACTCCGCGGATATCGTGTCAATGTAATTTAATATCGTTTATCTCATTTAGTCATTCGATGCTCCAATGTATAATTCGAGATTTCAACAATAACGACCTTCGAGCGAACCAAGTATAAAAATAAAAAATTAAATATCAAAATGTATTAACGCCACATGGTTTATCAGATCTTATAGAAATTTCTGTTTCTAATATTGCTATTATTATTTAGAATTTCATCATTGCCATTCTTTGATTGTTGATTCTGATGTTTTACATTACATTTCGCAGATGAATCAAGAAAATTTTCCTCTCAGAGCGGAGGATATGTATTCTTGCAGGGAAAGTGGAAAGCCCATACTTCACGATACTCTGTTGAGGGTTACTTTGGAACGAGATATCGAGAGTCACTCTCAAAGTCCTGGTTTCCCTTTCGAGGTGGACCAGGCACGTGGTGGTGCAATAGAAGTGCGAGGAATAGTCGTGACACCTCTCAAAGTTTCCTTATCCTGCTCACAATACGAACAATTTTTGGATACCGTGCACAGACTCATTTCCGTGCCTACGTCTATGGCCGAGTCAGTCGTGCCCAAACAACAGCCAGATTCGGCGATCCCGACGTGCATTAACATTCCCAGGTAAAACTGTCCGCTGCCTAGCACCGCTTTATTCGCAATAAGCACGCGCAACTCGATAAGCCTTACAATTACAAAGTCTGCGTGACGAGGAATTTTCCCTCGCATTCAAATCATTCGAACTCAATTTAATCTTACGTGCATTTTATTCGCAGAATTATTGACACGACCTCCTATACCGATAAGTTCGACTTACCCATAAAAGTGCTATTTGAGCTACCGACCCTCAGCATCGAACTTAAGCAAGAGGGTGAACTCGAGCGACCCGTTGTCGAGCTCTCTATGCGAGAGTTATGCGCCAAGTTTGAAAAACTACATCGTGGCGAATTGACGATTCAACTTGCTCTTCGATCATTGCTTATGGAGGATTTGCTGTGCCCCGTGGGTTCGCGCCACCGTTACATGATGCAATCTTCTGCACCAGTTAGGGCGAGACTATTGGCAGGTTCGTTGAAAGCAATTATTTTCTTAAACTTTCTCATGAATTTAACAATTGAGCTCCTCCATCCACCCCTTTCCAATTCCCTCTCTCACCTTCGCTATTGTCTAAACTATTTGCTTCTATAATCATACTAATATTTAATTATTTATCAATTTTAATCAGTTTTAAAAATGTAAGGTGGAAGAAAATGCACACTGCACTGCTCCAGAAAAGTAGATTGCCGGTACCTTAACTTAAATCTCAAAGTATCAAAATTGTTAATTTTTACTATAATACACTCGAGCAGCCGATAAAATTTCACCTAAACAAGCAAATAAATGCAAATGTCATTTTGCCTATAGGGGTATCGAGATCCTGCCCCGATCTTGTGTATCATCATCTGCTGCGGGGTACCTTGGAGCTACGTGGTAGCCTACCAGATAGACTGGAAACCGACACATTGTACGGCGCTGTGCCCGCGCATTGGCGCGAAGAGACGGCCTCGCTTGTGGGGACACCGAATACCCCGCCCCCCTCACCCGGTGCCATAAGCGCCGAAGAGAATCTCGTGCTCATCAGTATAACGATGAGCGAGCCGGAGCGGGATGCGAAGCCGCGCGTGCGTCGCAAAACCATCAGCGTCGATTTCAACTGCCTCGATCTTATCGTTAGCGTCGAGTCCTGGATGGTCGTACTTGATTTTCTCAGCATAGGTACCCTCGGGTCGGGAATTACCGTCTCCGCGGACATGCTACCCAACCCCGCCCGCGATCAGACCGACTTCTCCGTGACCGCGGAGCAGCTGCCCATCCACTCCGAGATCGATATAGAGATCAATTCCCTAACGCTCGTATTGACGCAGCCCGAGCGCGAGATCGCCCGCGCCAATATCTCCAACGCCATGATGCACGTGGTTAAAGCCGACGGTACGAGCAAAGTATCCGGCTCCCTCGGCTCCATGTCCCTCTTGGACCTTACGGCCCACGGCCGCTTTTATCGCGAGAGATTCCTCTCGTCCGGCAGGAAGGCTCTAAACTTTCAGTACTCGAGGTACATGGACTCGGAGAAGCTTACCCACGATGCCCAGCTGAGCTTGCAAATGTCGGCAGTGCACTACGTGCACACTCAGCGATTCGTCGCCGAGCTACAGGCCTTCTTTACTCACTTCTCGCGGCTACATGCCGTAATGGCAAATTTGAGAGCCGGTGGCGCTTTCGTCGATCCTAGCGACAAGCGCAGCGTCAGATTGCTCTTGGAGTTACACGCGGGTGCACCGGTCATACTCTTACCGGTAAGTTCTCGGTCCGCGGAGATGATATTGCTGGATCTTGGTGAGCTGTCCGCGCGCAATAACTTCGTGCACTCGACGGTGATGAGCGAGTGCTTGCTCGACATTATGAGTCTCGAGCTGGTCAATATGGACGTGTACGCGGCGAAGAGGCTGAGCTCGAGCGACGCTGCCCAGCCGGACGAGGATGAGAGTTGCCTATCGGTCGGTGGCTTCGTGGTTAAGAAAACGGGACCCTCGCTACTCACGGAGAAGTGCCAGCTTAGGCTCCGAGTGGAGAGGAATTTGGATACGTATCTCAGCCGAGATATTCCGGATGTAAGCGTGCACGGGACCTTGTCAACGATGGACTGCGCCCTCGACCCCTCGCAATACATGCTCATTCGTGGCTTGCTGTCCTATAATATTGGCGAGAATCTGGACGACTTGCGCGCCATCATGCGCGACACCGCCAAGTACTCGATGCCCAAGGATGACGTCGACGGCAAGGTTTGGACATCGTCCTACGTAAACCTCGAACTGGTGAACGTGACCCTCAAGTTGCATCCGCGTCACGGTCTGCCGGCACTCGCCTGCGTCAACTTCATCAAGTCCCGGCTGATACTCGACGCGCTGAGCGATGGCTCACAGGACATTGACCTCGTGTCGAGGGAGATTCTCGTTATGGATACGAGATTCCAGGACGAGCCGGTCAATCGTCGCTCTAACGTATTTACCAATATACTCCAGCCGTTGAGGGAGAGCTGCGCATCCGAGGATCGCGTTCAAGCTGAAGTGCATCACCGGAAGCGCAAGAATTCAGCAGCTACGACCATACTGTTGCACAGCATGCGACTTACGGCGATTCTCGATTGGTGGGAGGCGATCAGAGACTTTCTCGTGCTCAACGCGCCGGAGCCGGAGCCCGTGCAGCCATGGGCCGTCCCCATGCCTACTTCCCTCGATAACGACAGCGCGACTGACCTTACATTGCCCTTCGAGCTCAAACTTAACATCACGGACTCGGAGCTCGTGCTCGTCGAGAACACGTCAATATGGGACTCCAATGCAGTAATATTGAAGTGCACGGCCGTGCTGAACTACAAGTCTACGCCGCAGAATGGCGAGAAGCCTATGAGCTGTAACCTATCGCATTGCGAGCTTTTTTCCTGCATCTTGGGCTTGGGTATGCTTAAAAAGATTGATATTTTATTATTTTTTAAAGATTTACACTCACGTACGGTTATTCTTCTTATCTCGTGACGGAAACGAACTTTGCCTACTCTTTTCCTTTCGTATTTTGATCAAACAAAAACAAAAACATAATAATAATAATAGTAATAATAATAATAATAATAATAATAATAACAATAATAACAATAATAATAACAATAATAATGATAATAATGATAATAACAATAACAATGATAATAATGATAATAATGATAATAATGATAATAATGATAATAATGACAATAATGATAATAATAAAAACGGACAGTATATCGATACTTTTCTCTCATTATAATTCTCAATACGACTTTAACTGTTTGTGAATTTTGTTTTCAAATATTAAGAAGAAACAATACGTATAATGTAGCGCTACATCTCTCAGCTCATTTGATTTTATCTTGATGTTACTTTTTTATTTAGCAATAATAATAACAGCAACAAAAACAACAACTATAATAATAATAATAAAGAATAAGAGTCTAGAGAGACGAATTAAGATTGCCAATTATCAGAATTTTCATATAATTAAGAAACTTTTAATAACTTGAGACAATACAGTGAACAACAATAAGTAAGAAATGGCTTGGAACGACATGAACAATTCTAAAACTATTATTAAGAAATGCAACGATCCCATTTGTATTCAAATAGAGGACGAGACGGCCTTGTCGATCATCGATCCGGTTGGAGCGAGTCTAGAGCTGACGTCCGAGAAATGCCTCGAAATTCATTTGCAGCCACTGAGCGTGCGGCTAAGCTATCACGACGTCAACATGTTCTTGCGCATCCTGAGGTCATTGCCGAAACAAACCTTGCTGGCAAAGCAGAAGCTCCTGGACGACGGTTCGCCCGCGAACGCCAAGAGCCACGTGGTTAAACTACTGGCTCTGGGTTTTGCCGAAGTCGATTGCGAGACCGCTTTGCAAAAGTGCAATGGCCACTTGAATGACGCCGCCCTTTGGCTCACCCAGAACGCCGTGCCCAACGCCGAGTTGGAGCCCAGCAGCGATGAATTCCCGTTAAAGGTACGAGTAAACGCTGTTTCTCTTATGATCCTATAGCAGGGCTCTTACCCTCTTTTTTCATCTTCTTCATCTTCTTCTTTTTCTTATTCTTCATAAGATTGTGAATAATTCACACGACGAGTTTCTACTTGAAATCTCGAATTATGGATTCAGTGCACTTAATAAGTAAGCACTTTAAAAGAGCTCTGAGATATACTTTATGCCTCGTTTTACGATCATTCGCAATTATAATATGTGAATAGTATAATCAAACTCGTTGGCACTAGGACTTTAGTGTTCAAATACCTTAACGATTTTAATTCAAGAAAATTGCTTCGCTATTCTATTCTTCGACAAATGTCCCGTGTGTAATGGAGATATAGTGTGCGTGTGTGTGTGTGTGTGTGTGCGTGATAGAGAGAGAGAGAGAGAGAGAGAGAGAGAGAGACAGAGAGAATTCAAAAAAAATTTTTGATGGATCTATTCATTTCGAACAAGTTGAAATGTATTACCTATGAGATAAAGTACAATCGTGAAGTCACGACTGTAAAGACACGTACTATAACGTGAAATAAATGAAATACTAAATGTCTTAAAAGCACCAATACTTAATGGATTAATGTAACGATACGTAACTCCGCTCAGACCATAGTGTTGGAGACATCCTGCCTGAAGATCTGCATAATCGACGACTGCAGGGACGCGGACGTGCCTCTGTTGGAAATAACACTGATCGACCTATCGCTGAATCAGGAGTACTGTGGCCCTGGCGACGTATCAGCCACCTTCGGGGTCGACTACTACAATCGGGTGTTGAGCGGCTGGGAGCCGGTCGTCGAGCAGTGGCACGCCTCCATGCACTGGGAGCAGACCCTCTCCAGCTCACTCAATTCTAAGCGCTTGAGTATCCAGGTGAATTCGCCGGACTCGGTCAACGTCAACGTCACCTCGACCTTCGTCGAGCTCATCACCCTCGTCAAGGAGAACTGGACGCAGGATTATTATTTGCTCAGTAATTTTAGTAAAGGTCATAGTAAAAGTCGTAAAAATTAATTTTTTTTTTTTTTTTTTTTTTTTTAATATTTCATGGCGGTTCACCCACGTCGTTCTATTATACTATTTACAATATCGTGAAATGCTTATTTGTATTTGTATTCAAATATTGCAGGTAATAACAAGAATTACAGACGGCGTTCACCTTTCGTACCTTTTGCCCTAAAAAATGAAACGGGCTCGAAGATCTGGTTTAAGACGCTAATTGCCACTGCCGAGGATGATAAGATCGTAGATAGAGAAATTCTCAAGAATAATGCACTGAAGAAGGATGAGACGTGGCTGGAAGTTGGAATAAGCGAGACAATACCGTTCACTTTTGAGAATAGGGGGAAGCTGCGACATCATTCGACTCATATAGCGAGAAGACATCAAGTGGCGGTGATCGTTGAGGGATGGAAGGTCGTGGATCCAGTTACCGTAGACAGAGTTGGCATTTATTTTCGGCATGCACTTGCGAACTTGAAGGGCTCCGAGGTAAATAAAGGAAACGATATTTGCAACAAGTTTTGAAAATCACTTATATCCATCTGATTTGCAAGTGCCATGGTGGCAAAGAAATATGAATGGCAGTGAAAATAAAAAATAATGCTGCTACGATAAGCATTGTATTTCAACGGTTTTAGTATTTATTTTTAAAAAATTCATTAACAAGGTAATTTTATGATTTTTAGTTAATATCGACAAAAGCCAGGATTGTCTTCAATGTAGAATTAGAAGGATCAGCGCGGAAATTGGTTACTGTGAGATCCGCCTTACAAGTTGTAAATAAGTTGAGCTATAACGTTGATTTGAAATTGGAGAAATCACTGAATCATCATGGTTGTAAGTTCAATATTGCCACCTCGTTGCCGCCAATTAATTATACATACAATACATTACAACATATTCTATTACTATTTAAAACAATTTTTATAAAAAAAAAAAAAAAAAAAAAAAAAAAAAAAAAACAGTCTTTGTAATTACGACGTACTTATAAACGCGCCTTTTATATCCCGTCAACATAAAATTCATACGTGTATCTTTATTTTAAGATTCTTCTACGTATCAATCTACGCTCGGTGGCAGGACTTTGCAAGTACCAGCTCAATCAAGAATCTCAATTCCATTAACACACACAGACGTAAAGATGTACCTGAGGCCCGTGCATCCAAATGGCTCATATCAATATTGCGTTGAACCTATCGCTTGGACCGTGGTGAAAAAGCTATCGGAAGTCGTAGAAGTTCAAACTACCTGCAGAACTAATCAACAAAATATCTTCAGAATGTGCTTGGCGATACAACGGGATAATTATCCACAAGATATTGCGCAAACGTTACCCGGTCATACAATATCGATTCTTGCTCCAATCACAATCACGAATTTACTACCGCATGAATTGATGTATTCCGCGGACGGGGAAAGCGGGCAAATTTTACCTGGCGAATCGTCCGATCTCCTTACCCAAAATATTAACGATCAGCTAGAAATTACTGTTCAACTAGACGGATATCCAGGTGCTGGAACGGTTCGTTTCGTACTTAAAAATTTGTTAATCAAATTAGATCGATCGATATTACATCAACTGATATTTAATATTTTACTAAAGTTACTATTAATTTCCATGGTAGTTGCAATTAAATTTAATACATTTAAAATTATCGGTAAGAGGTACTATCGATAAAGCTCTTACTTATTCATATAAAATATCGATGATGTTAAAATAACGCTGTAAGAAGCTTTATAATAAGAGCACGTGACTACTATTTCCAGCTGATAGTTCCACAAAATAGTGGCTCATTCACCGGCCGACTCCGACTCTCCGACTCATCCGGGCGCATTCTATTCATACACGCAACAATAATAGTCGAGAAAGGCTTTGCGCTGCGTATAAATATAACAGCTCCTTACTGGATTGTCAACAAGACGGGCTTACCCTTGGTTTTCAAGCAGGAAGGTGCGAGCACCGAATTCGCTGGTCAATTCGAAGAACATGAAAAGGCTCGAATGATCGCACCATTACTTTTCTCGTTTAACGACGAGGAAATAACTGGCGCACTTTCAGTACGCATTGGTACAGGTTTGCACGTCTCTGGAATACCTCAGTGGTGTCAACATTTCCATTTGCAGCCTGGAATACAGGTGCTTCCCTACTGATACTATTTACTGATTAGTTAAGAAACGCTGGGAAACAAAAGGCATTTTGCATATCAAATAATCGATAATTAATTAATTTCTTCTTTTGCATTGAAGTAATTACAATTAAAAAAAAAAAAAAAAAAAAAAAACACGAAACGTCACGATGATATTTATTAATAACATACGATTAAAAATAATATTTATTCGACAATTTGGATAATTATATTTATTAATAATACTTTTTAGGAAGGAATAATTCGAACTTTATTTTATATTATAGTCGCGGATACGAGTTTTTCCATCAAAATGTAACATTTTCGTGTGCATAGGCAGCTATTATTTATAATTTCAAGACTGTTAAATAATTGTATTTTCGTAGGTACAACGGTTGAGGGTAACGTTTCGCGACGGTAGACCAGATACCGTTTTTGCAATTGGCATTGCTATGAGAACGGCTAGAGGAAGATACCGCGCGACAACCGTTGTAACATTATCAACAAGATATCAACTACATAATAAATCATCGTGCACGTTGGAACTTGCCCAGAAATGCTACACGACCACAGTAATAAGCAATAATAAATTGATTATTGATTTTGTCAATCTTTCTAGCATTATATTCACATTATATTATTTGTTATTATTTTCTACTTTCTACTAAGTCTCATGCCGATGCTCAAGCCACGTACATAACAGCAACACCAAACTGCCATATGCCTTACCATTGGCCGCGCCTAGATAAAGATCAAATACTTTGCGTTCGAATAGTCAATGTTCCTAATTGCATGTGGTCTGGTGGAATAAAATTACACGGAAATCATTCACTGACAATCAATGTTCGAGACTCGTCTGGTCAAATGTATTTTTTACGAATTGACGTTGTTTTGCAAGAGGGTACATATTTTATAGTGTTTACAGATGCTGATACTATGCCACCGCCCATAAGGGTTGATAATTTTTCAGAAGTTAATCTGACGATTAATCAGGTATTATAACAAATTTTTATGAATATACACTCGCATAGCTTAATTCATCACTGCATATCACTGCATACTTTAGTTTTTCAACTTAATTTTCATATTCTGAACACAGCTCTTATCATTTATTTAATTAACTAACATTGCCATTTATGATTATTTATAACGTTTTAGACAACAGTCTCGGATAGCTTACAGTGGTCAGTGCGGCCCCATTGTTCAGTTCCTTACGCGCTCGATGAACCAATTTTAGCAGCGAGTCTCTTAGTAACGGCACCGGGAGGTGTAACTGCTTCCTACGATTTAAATATTCTCGGCGAGTGTAGAGGACTGACCTATGAAAATTTTATCTACATTGCATTTACAAGTAAACATATTGCAAAAAAATTATTACTATTCACAATCGTATATATCAATGAAATTCTCATAGTGAAATTGAAGATTATTTTGAAATTTAACATATGAAATTTTTTTTCAGAATTATAATATTGAATATAAATATATATATATATATATATACACAGTATGATTGTTCCCATGCTAGTTTCATTGATAATATATACATTTGTCGATAAATAAAATTTTAAATAATGTATTTGTATCTCACTTCGTATCTTTATCATACTTATTTACTTCCAAACATTTCATGAATAATATTTTAATTAATTTGGCGATTTTTCTTGTTTTTTTTTTCTCGATAAATTTAAATCAAGGCACATTTATGTCAAAGCTAAACAACTACATACAAAAAATATTTGAAAACATATCGTATACAAGACATATAGCGTAGAATAGATTCATTTGGCTATTTTAATTATTATTATTTTATAAGATCGTATTAAGATAGTCAATATATCAACCAATGCATTAAGAAAGTAACGAAGTATATTGTTCAGATTTATCAAGACATTATTTTTATCGTTTAGAGTCAAGCTTTATGATAAGCTTTTACTAACCACGCCTAACACATACTTATTTAATAAATTCGTAATTGCAATTAATCACGTGAATTGTGCACGATAACTTATGCCTGTTATTAAATACAAGTTTGTTTTTTTTTTTTTTTGTATTCTGACGAATTTTTATTTTATCAAATTTTTTACCTTTCAGGGACGTTCAAAACAGACGGGGATCTGGGAACTGGTGAAAACAGTATGGATCCATTAGATGTTGAAACTCAGCGATTGGTTTTGGAAGCTGGACCTGGTGGTTGGGTCGCACTTCGTAGAAAACAGTATGGAGCGAGGTCACAACTTTGGAGAATGACTGGAGAAGGTCAACTGCAACACGAAGGTTTGTATTTTTATCAAACTTCAGTTTTATGTTAAGCCATCAACTTTTTAAAAGCTAATTGCTCGAATTTATAATTACAAGCACTAATTTGATAGGTAAAAAATGTTCTTCGTTCATACGAATGAAACTGTCAATTATTAAGCGACGTTTAAAACGAATATTATTTCAGTATCATAATGACGATGCGAATGAATATCACAATAAACAAAATAAAAATCTATTATCTATAATTAGTCACATATTGCAATAATAGATTTTTAGATTAACGAGCTTTCATTAGTGTGAAGAGTATCGCTTATAAACTTATCTCTACTTATAGTCTATAAATAAATGTTTAATAGATTAAGATTAATCGCTCGATTATTAATCGAACTCGCTTCTTACTTACGTCATTTATAGGGTCCAGCCCCCCAAGAGACAAATACAGTCGAACTCCGGATACAGTTTTAGTTTTGGATATTGCCGGCACCGCCCCGCAACCATTTACTTATTGCCCTTTGGCATTGAGAAGACCCGATCCGAGGCGCAGATCGACCCAGACTTGGCGTTTCACAGACGATGGTCGCCTATGTTGTGTACATGCAAATATGTGCGTGCAGTCGAAAGATGGTTTTATGGGACTACAAGAAGGTTATATTCTAATTCATTGTTTAAAAATGCGTATTTTAAATTATTATAGATGCATTTATTATTTATAATTTATTGAGGACGTACCGAGTAAAATTTTTGATAACCCGTTACAAATATTTTAATCTCGATTTATCGAAAGATTTTATAACTTTACCAATATACTGATAAATTTCAATACAATTTGAAAATTTCTTTCATTAAATTAATTTTATGTTTATTATGTTTATTTGTCAACGAGTTGCTTGGATTGTGCCTAAACGTTTGACTATTTTACCTCAAAATATTTTATCTTTGGTATTTGAATGTACAATTTATAGTATCTTACATCACTGTGATATGACAATTTAGTCATATTATTTTAAAATAATTATACAATAATCAAATGCTTGTTTTTGTTTTCATCATATTTTCATACATCAACTTTACGATTATCATATTTCTAATAAATTTAAATTTCCTCTTTTAACATTAACTTTTAGCTTATATATATATTATATATATATATATATATATATATATATATATATATAATATATATAACATATATACATATATACTATAAAAAGTCGTATATTTGATTATTTATGGCAATATAATCGATTCGACGAAACAACGTCTTCAAACGTTGTAAAAATCTAAAACAACAATCCAATTTTACAGGCGGCAGAGTCGCCCGATGGCAAATGTGTACGTATATTTACGGAATTTGCATCGCTCTCGCGCCATACTACATCTTTTATGCTCTACCAACTGTTTATAAAACTAATATATCTAAACGTAATATACTAAATCCTTACGCTTTCATTGCTTAAGATAATTAGTTTACACTTTTTTATTTATTTACACGATAATTTTAAAACAGCATTTCATTATTTAACATTGCATTTTTTAAACTTCTATCATAGATTAAACATATATATTCAATCTTCTATCTTCTTTAAATAAATTTCAATAAAAATTGAGCAGATGGTTTTAAGAAGTTTTTAATGAGAAAAAAAAATTATTTTAAAGCAATTCAATAAAAATATATTAAATTCGAAAGCTGTCTAGACAAAATTTGTTTTACATTATTTGTAGCGATAGCCTCTATATTATTAATATATAATAAGAAATTCATAATTAGATCAATTAAAGAACTTAATAAATTAAAAGTCTGTAGTTTGAATAAAATCATTTACGGAAGATATTGACATCAAATGAAATTGTTTGGAAGAAAAAAAAATTCGGAATTTCTAAAATATTCTGAAAAATAGACATTATAACATGATTTTCAATTAACAATAACAATTGGAAATGAAAAATTACTTTAGATGTAATCGTTAAATAATGGGTTCCCTGAATTTAATTTATAAATATTCAATAAAAGAATTTTTTTAATTTAATTCTATTCAATTTTTGTATCATCTTATTTAAAAATTGTTCCTTAAATTGTCTATTATCACTACTCTAAACAATCGACTTACACACGTACATCAACATAAGCAATAATTGAAAATAATTACTAAAGGTAGAATAATTTTATTAATTGATTAAATTGAAACGATCAAATTATTTAGGTGCGTTAAGAAACTTAAACTTGTAAAATATTTTATATAATAAATTATCGAAAAGCAAAATCATGTTATCGAATCTGCAAATAGAGCTATTTAATTTTATCAATAATAATTCAATTGTCAGACATATTTATAAGAAATTTAAAAATTTTAACTGTTTCTAAATTCGAATTACGGTCTGTACATTCTGCACCTTAAACGGGTTTTTCTCAAAATCAGCTCAATTTTTCCAAATACGCAGAAATTGTCGAACAACAATTATTAGTTCAATTTAATGGATTTTATTGTATATGAGTAATCGTATATTTGTTTGCATTATCAAGGTTATTAAATTTGTTATTGTTTACAGGTAATTAATTTTTTTATCGTTTAGAGATAATTAATTTTTTATTGTTTTTAGATAATTAAATTTTTTATTGTTTATAGATGATTTATAGGTGAATAATAAAAGTGTTTTTGAATAAAAATTTTAATATAATTACAATTTTTTGTCATTTTGTACATTTAAAGCTTTTTCGAGTGTTTTGATGCATATTGGTGAATTATTTTTCTCCTAAAGACTTATATAAACATTATTGTTTAAGATAAAGATTATTAATTCAAAAGCCTTCACAGTTTTATATCCTCGGTGATAAAATGTGTTAGAAAAACTTTGCACTTTATTGCTCTCTATTGCTCGATATCATTAATAACTTTTTTATTGAGTTAATTATAAATAATTTACTGTCAATGTTCGAAATTTTTATCTCAATGGAATCTTGATTTGATTAAAACTAACTTTCAGAAAATCCCTTATTTCTGACATTTTAAAGCGCGATCCTTTATTTAAAAGTAGGTTATGAATACTATTTCCATAACAATAAATTCAATATATATATATATATATATATATATATATATATATATATATATTACAATAAATTCTTTATAAAAATATATTTTAATATAGTATGTAAATATGAATATAAAGATGTTTTTACAGTATAAAGCAAATCCAGTAGTAATAAACTCATGAAAAAACAAATATAATGCAAAATATATGAAAACTGTATATAATAATGTATTCAATTAGTAGTTAAATGATATTTAAATCAATAAATATATGTGAAAGTATTTTACAAAAGCATTGTATTAAAATGATCCTATAAATTGTCGATGAAACTAACAATTGAAAAGATTAATTCCTGTACAACACTAACATTATCTAATAAATTAACCGATCAGTTTATTTGAATTCTTATAAGTATTTTTTTTTTGTCTGAATAATAATTCAAAATCTCAACACACTAATGAAATTCGTACAATAATACGCTTTCCTAATGAATGTTAACTAATTGTTTGTAGGGAGTGAAGCAGTCCTGGGACCTCAAATACATTGCAATCCACCGCCAATTGAGCAAAAAGTAGGTAGGCAACGTCTTCGGCCAGGTTCCGGATACCTTTCAGTACGAGTAACCACTGATGGACCAACTAGAGTTTTACAAATTTTAGATATCAAGGAGAGGGTAAGCCGATTAATTTAAATTATTTTTCAAAAGGCGATGGTCTTTTTATTCATTCTATTATTATAGCTTTTAATCATTATCGATAATTGTATTAAAATAGAATACATTAAGGGAGGCAATAAAATTCGACTGTTTACAAGAAAGTTGAATTAATACACGGTCTATTTAGAAAAAATGTCGATTAATGATCGATTGACTTTGATCTTTTTTTCGATCGCAGAAGAAAACATTCGTACTGCTCGAGGAGCGAGATTGGTCGAACATTTCTATGGCCCAGCATCCGACTCAAATCTATCCAGATGTACAAAATGTCGATGCACGCGAGCTTCACCTCAGCGTAGCTCTGCCCGCAGGTTTGGGTCTCTCGATAGTCTCCTGCCGACCGGCCGAGGAGCTTATATTTTCGCGCTTCGCCGGGATCACCCTGGACTTCATTAATACCCCGTCAAACAAGAGGCTCGACCTTAACATACATGACGTGCAAATTGATAATCAACTTTTCGAAGCCCAATGCACGTCCGTACTCTACATATCTAGGTAAGGGAATCGAGCACATACTTTTATTTGCCAATAAGCAGGATAAATATTGACCGATGAGTATAACCATTGGCCATTAAAGCCTTTAAAGCTAAAAAAATATTCGTCGGACCGACCAACGAAATCCATTTTAATTATAATGTTTAATCTTATTGCGATAAACGTGCATGTTTGGCCATTAATTCCGAATAAATCTTCGTCATGTATTTTATATTTATTTATAAGCTATGAAATGCAACAGTATGAGACGTATGCTATTACGTAAATTATTATTAAAAACAATATCCTCTACTGAATATTTGTGTTTCTTTTATATCTTACAGTATTTCATGTTTTTTTTTTTTTTTTTTTTTAAGTGTGTAGTAGATTTTTACGAGTGTTTTTAGAGACGATCATACGTCATACGCTGTACAATTAAAATAAAAAGTAAATAATGAACGTATTGTGAATTTATATATTAGATTGGATTAACTTTAATATATATAAAATAGGTTTAAAGTTAATGCGATCATTTGAAATATAAATATGCATCTATTTGTGTATGTATGTAAATAAACAATGTTGGGTAGGAATTTGCGATTGGAGGGTGATACGAGACCAACGATACACGTGTCCGCCGAGAAATTGCCATCGAAGAACCAAAACGCGGAGATTTTTAAGCACCTGATAGTGAGCGTGAATCCGGTATGCGTCCACTTGGAGGAGCGACTAATATTAAAGCTCGCAGCTTTTATCGGAGCCGGATTCCTCGAGCAGGAGGCCCCTGTAGACGAGAACGACTTCAACGCTCAGCGTTTTATCTCGAATGTGTCAGCAGCGCATGCAAAACGATATTATTTTGGCGTGCTGAAGCTCATGCCGAGTCAGGTTGAGCTGAGTGTGCTGACGACAACGAAGCTCCCACCACATCTCCAGGCGATAAAGCGAAAGCTCGGACTGACCCTTATCAAATTCGAGGACGCGACCATCGAGCTAGAGCCTTTTATTAGGATGCATCCCTTCGAGAGCAGTCAGTTTTTGATGCACTCCATTATGAAGCATTACAAGGATGTGAGTCGATTGCATTAATTTTTATTCAATGTTACTTTTAATGCTACTTTTCTTGATATAGCCAACTAATTAAAAGCATCTCTCGCAAGCTCTTCGTTAATTCTAATTGCAATTTAACGCGAGCTAGAAAACATCTATGCGAAATAATAATTGATCGGGCATTAAAAGTAAATGTTAAAGTTAGTTAATCGTGACATTTATTAGATTCATTTTTTTTTTTTTTTTATTGTGTTAGGAATTGAAATGGCAAGCAGCTGTGATTTTGGGCTCAGTCGACTTTTTGGGCAGTCCTCTAGGCTTCATGAACGACGTGACCGAAGGAGTGTCGAGTTTCTTTAACGAAGGCAACGTCAAAACTCTTGTGAAAAATGTTACGTATGGTTTTTCTAGTTCCGCGGCTAAATTCACCGAATCTTTATCCGACGGAGTCGGCAGAGTCATCATGGACGAAAGGCACGAGGAGACGAGGCAAAAAATTCGATCCAATACAGCAGGGAGCAAGGATCATTTAGTTGCTGGATTTAAGGGATTGGGATTCGGTATACTCGGTGGCATGACCAGTATTTTCAAGCAGACTTACGATGGTGCTGCGAACGAGGGATTTCCGGTAAAAAATTTTCTCTCTTTTTTTATCCCAAACCCCTTTGGTTGGCCGATAAAGACCACGTTGAAAATTAGAATTGTGTAGGATTATTCATTGTTTCGAAATTAATTTTTAGGGATTCTTTGCTGGCCTCGGTAAAGGTGTTGTTGGTACAATCACTAAGCCCGCTGTTGGAATTTTAGATTTTGCTACAGAAAGTGCTACTGCTTTAAGGGAAAGTAGCAGAAGGTAAGTTGCAAAATTATATAATAATTTTGTACTATGTAATTTAAATTTTAAATCTTCATTTCAGTGCCCACAGACAAATACCAAAGCGCGACAGACATCCACGAGTAGCTAGTGGACCCGCGGGTCTTTTACCCCCTTACAATACTCAGCAAACTGAAGGCCAGGAGCTACTCTATAGCATCAACAATCGAGATTACTCTGAATTATTTGTCGCGTACGAATGCCTACGTAGTGGGATCGACAACCTCAAGGTTATAGTGTCGAATGAGCGTGTTATTGTTATATCTGGGGGTAGTAAAGGCATTGTTACCGAGGTTAGTCTCGCTGATTTATTACATTGCCATCCGACTTATCGTCTGGAAAGTAATGGCACAACGTTGCACTACATCGAATTAACTTCGAGAGCAGATTCGACTAGCACAGTAACATTCGACGGACCCGAATTTTTAAGGCGACCGAGAGTCCGCTGCGACAGTCAAGATATCGCCAAATGGGTATGTTTTGTTTGTTTGTTTGTTTGTTTTTTTTTTTTTTTTTTTTTTTTATTCTATTATTTTATTTTATTCGTTTATATCTTAACAGGTAGATTATTGAATTGTAAATGCTTAGTACGTTGTTCGAACGTACGGAACATTAATCTGACTCATTCGAATATCTTATAAAGTATTATTAGCCAGCTCTATTTATAACGTATATTCATTATTAATTCCAATGCTCATCCCTTTTAATATCGCATATTAATTAAAATGCTATGAAATAGGCTCAAGTAATTCAATCGAGTACATATTTATTGCAGGTTTCTCGGCAAATCAACTATGCAAAAGGAATGCACGAAGAGAGTCGTTTAACATTAATGTACTCT